AGGATTTCTAATTCTTTCAGAATTGCCTCGCTGAATAGGTTGAATAAGTCTGGTGAGACGACACACCCTTGTCTTACACCCCTTTATTATTTTTGTTTATCTGAACTCATTTTCTGTCCAACTACAGGCGGTTTGCTGCTAGCATAGATTCCTGATCATACTAATGACTTTCCTGAATACGTCATCTTACTTATTATAAGACGCAGAGTGTGTGTGTGTACGTTTATATATTCGATCGGATTTCCTACATTTTTCAACTGATTTCAACAAAACTTCACAAGACTGCGTAAAATTGCCTTGCGGTGGTTCTGACAGCGTCAAAAATTGGAAAAACAATTGTATTTGAAAACACGATTCTGTCGCCAGAATGAAAGGGGGAAAACTCATATCGAGTTATACTTATAAAACCCAGGTTGTGTGTGTGTGTGCATTTATATATGGGATTGGATTTCCTACATTTTTCAACCGATTTCAACAAAACTTCACTTTTTTTCTTTGGCAGGTTAGTGTTTCTTATTGTCTTGCACACTTTTTTCTTTATTTTTACATTCCATTTACAAGACAATTGTTTATAATAAAATTCTATTCAATCGGTAGACTCATAACGATTGAAAACAATGTTTTTGTTTGAGTGACCAATTCAAAAAAAAAAAAAAAAAAAAAACTAATTAAGACACGCGTGTCCGTCAACCTTAAACAATAATCTTTGTCAATTTTATTTTTCAGTCTTTATGATGGTCGATACTTGATCTATCTCTTACTGTTACATTCCCGGGCTCTACTGCTAGTGGTTACTAAGCAGCTCTTTGTCAAACGCCTTTGCATAACGTATAAAGCACAGGAATACATCCCTCTACATTTGTATTGTTTTTTGTTGATAATATTCAGAGCATAAATATTGCATTCCTTGTTCTGGTGTCTTTCACAAACCTGCACTATTCTCATGCAATCTCAGGCCAGATTCTGCTGCACACTAGTCATTAGAATTCGGATGATGAGTTTTGTCAAGTGGCTCATTGCCTGGTGGAGTGGTTGCTTACGTAGTGCTATGAAAATAGGTCTTCTGGTATGTCACTGTTGTAGATTTCATTTATTATTTCTGTGATTTTGTCTATGCCAAAAATGTCTAAATTGCTGCAAGCATCTATTATTCCGTCTGGCCCTGCCACTTTGTTTCTGTTCAGTTTGGCCAGTGCAGAATATACGTAATTATTACTTAGACATTTTTAGTGGATACTCATATTTGAGTAGACACTTTATTTATTAAACAGTATTTTTTTTTGTCTACAAGCCTGAATTTGATATATAAAAAAAAAAAAAAAAAAAAATATGTACCTTCCAGCCAGATTCAAACATGCATTCCCCTAGAGGAATACATCATGTCTTGGCCACAGAGTGCATCGACGGTCAAGCAAATTTTAATAATGCCTTTAATAGTGTCTACTCAAATACAAGTATCTACTAAAAATAACATTAAAGTAACAAAATCTGTGATTAACTTAAAAAAAATCCATTGTGTGTGTGTGTGTGTGTGTGTGTGTGTGTGTGTATATAAAATGTTAGCCATTGCAAACATCAGAGTAGAGTACAGTTTCAATGTATTAGAAGACATGAAGTCCGCAAAGCAGACTGTCAAATGGGCGTGCAGGGATTTGTTGAACAATAATACAATCAAAGAACAATATCACCTTGCAGAGTCAAATGGTCACTTACTGCAACAGTGAGTATCAATTTTTCTAATACTTTGGTCACTGTGATATCCCTCGTGGATATTAGTATTGGCTGTCTGCAGTTTACCTTATAAATAAATACAAAAGTGGCACAATGGGTCCTTGCTAAAATGGTTAGAACACCTATGTAGTGAAGTGGAGTGGAGTGGAGTGGAGTGGAGTATAAATGATTTTATCTGGACATGGAGTGATGAAAAGTTTTATGACTTCCAGATGCACCATCCAGAGAATCAAGATGAGACATCTTCATACTGTATACGTGTTGGGCAACGGAAATAAATAATTTATATTCTATGCAAGTGTCTTAATCAGTTGAGCAGGGACCCATTATGGAGTAGAGTGTGTGTGTGTGTGTGTGTGTATATATATATATATATATATATATTTATATTTTAGAGATTGAAATTACAATGAAGGTAACATTATAGCCACATTCTATCATATACTTTAAATAAATTTTCAGTTTTAATTTAATTCATTTGAAAATTAAATTCTTGCAAATAGTTCAGCCAAAGAATTCTTCATAATTCCTGCAAATTTTTTTTTTTTTTTTTTTTTTAATTTCACATGTTAACAAAATATCAGGTATGGGGCTGTAATGTTATCTCACAAAATTCCTCAGTTTTTTTTTTTGTTTTTTTTTTTTTATTACAATGTGGGCCTGGGGAGATGTGTTGGTTATAAACAGCACAGTGAGAAAAATGAAAAATAGAAAACCATGAGTAAATAGAAAATGAAATTTTATTTATGTGACTTCCTACAAAAAAAAGAAATAGTTGAAATACTGAAGTCTTTGGTCCTGTTGGACAGAACAGGGCATAGATTAAGAAAGAAGAAACACATTATTATTATTATTACTGTTGTTATTATTATTAATAAAAAAGGAACAAAGAAAATGGAGGAAAAAAAATCAATTAAAAAAACTATTAGTAAGATCAAGAACAAATCATTGAACAAAAGAATCAATAAGAAACCCTAGTGACAAATTTTGTAACTCATTCATTCAGATCACAATTTATCCAGTCAACCAGCCACAAGATACGATTATGACAAAAATCTAATATTATTCCATTAACTGAATTCATTTGACAAGGGTGGGGAGAAAAAAAAACAAAAACATGGTAATAACAAATATCATTAATAAAATACATTTAAATTTCTTTTATAGAAAGTAAATAAATAACAGCTCCAAGTTAAACTTTACCATAAAAAAAAAAAAAAAAAAAAAAAAAAGTTAAAAATTAGAAAATTGAAAGTTAATTAATTAGAATTAATTTAAATGGAGAGGAAAAAAAAATAGGCTAATTACAATTACCGGTTTTTTATCCTGTGGGATCCTAGCGTTATCGATGAAGATGGCAGACAAATGAGTTTTCCCGGTCTCCAAGGAGAGTTTAAAAATATCCGGGAGGTTCCGAGATCCTAATTCCTTAGACAATTTCTCAATTTTTTTTTTTTGTATTCCTTTGATTTATTTTGCGTTCCGCTGCCATTAATGTGCCTCCTGACCAAAGTAGGAATTAAAAAAAAATAAAAATAAAAATGAAAGAACAGGGAGGGGGGACATTTTCCTCGTTCTCCTTTCCCCAAGGGCAGACCTCTCCGTGCAGATCGGTTGCCGATAGACATTTCTCTTTGAATTAGGTATTCACAATTCCAATCCTTATTTCTCCTCCTCCTATTTAGCCACTTTTGGGGGGGAAACTGTGGGTTGTGAAATTTTTTTTTTGTTTTGTTTTTTTGCTTTTTGTTTTCTTTTTACTCCTTTCCTCATTTTGATCCTTAATAGGACAGCTTTGAGAATGTTCCACACCGGCCCAGTGCCACCACCCCACCCAATTTACCTATTTAGGGACACACAAAAGCAACTGAAATCAAGTTGGAGGGAGAAGGGATGTAACCAAAAATTTCTTGGCTATTAAATTAATGCCCTCTATAAACATCACAATCTATTAAAAGAAACATTTTTAATTACCCAGAATAAAGACATGTGCATTTAACAAGTTAATTGCAGCCTTGGATCAGTGCAACAAAGTAAACATGTTCAGTCTCAAAAAGCAGGAACTGAGCATTGTGTTTTGCTATAGGAATCCATTAATCTTTCTTTTTAAATGGCTTATCAACCTATTGTAGGTTATTTTTTTTTAAAGATCATAATGATATAGTGATGCAAGTCTTAATTAACCCATAGCTGGAGGGGTGAAGAAGAGCTTTCCCAATAATATTTGCACGTAAGTGAATATAACGAGTATTGGAACTCCATTATCAAATTGCAAGCCATTATCTATTACACTTCCTATACACCCAAGCTTACACCACCTGGTATTCACAAGCAGTCAGATACTGAACAGACTCAACATTGCTTAACTTCAAAAACTGTATGAGAACTGATGTTTCAACATGATGTCACTGTAAGTCCTATCTATTGGTGACTTTAAACATTGCTTTAATCCTAAGAAAGAAAATGGTGAGTATATAGAGAGAAAGACGTCACCTGAACGTTTAGTGCTAAAATAAGTCTATAGTATAACTAGACCCCCACCTTCTCTGCTTATCAAAAAAGCTGAAAAATTTCTGAGAAGCGATTTGTAGACTGCTCCCAAAGAGTTCCAAACTCCTTTCTTTCAGTAAAGGATTTAATATCTGATGTGAATAAAGGATGGGTACGGCATTTTCCCCCTCTTTGCTTAGCGCTACTTTGATTTGTGGGTGGGAGGGGGGTCACTAAGTCCCAACCGACCACTGCAGCAGGCATGGAACTTTAATTCTTCTCAAAGTGCCCCTTAACTTACACCTGCCTGTCTTCCTAGGTCCTTCCTCAAATCACTTGACTCGAATAGAGAAAACAAGAGTTAAACAAGGATCCATCCAAATGATTCGTATTTATAGGTTTTTAAATCCAGAAAGCAGGAAGAATCTCCGAAGAAAACAGTGACACCCGTGAATTATCCTGTTCCTTAAAATTTTTGGCGAAGAACTCCAGCGTTATCCTGAATATGGTAGTAGTAGTAGTAGTAGTAGTAGTACAAGTACAAGAAGAAAGTAGTGCCAAAGCTTTAAATCCATTTCAAATATCGTATCCTTTCCTGTTTAAATTTTGGCTAAGAGAGGCCAATTTTGTATTTCTGATTTTCCTTTCCTTTTTCCACTTTTTTTTGCAAGAAAAAACCGACCAAAGATTTGCTAAGTGCATTTGTTTGTTCTCCCTCCACCCAGGTCCTAGGATCCTGCTGCCAGAGACACTGGGTTCTAGTTTTCCAATTCCATCCT